ATACTGGAGGAAAAAGCTTCTATTGGGATTTAGTGCTTGGTGCAATTAAACTCCTCACCCTCCCTATATCAAATGCGACGGCTGAAAGAGCTTTTTCACAAGTTGCTAAAAGACAACTCCAGAAATCGCATTAGCCTGCAGATGCTGTCCAGTTTGATGGATGTACGAACTGGAATAAGACGGACATCAGCAACATTCCGTCCTCTCCGAGATTTCATTCAACCGTGTACTGATCACAAATCACAATGGATTGTTTTATAGTTCACCGAGGTAAAAGTTCAGCATTCAGATGTTCCAGCAAACAATCTAATAAGCTTTGAAGGTAAGAATTCAAAATGAACCATAATAAATGTAATGATTTCAGTTATGTAAAAACTGTTAAAAGAGGAGTAGGTAACGTGGTTATGAATCCATCTGCAAACATGTTAGTACCGGTATGTGATGTGTCACATGGCACTGGATCTAACATCTCAGTGCAGATTTTGGATTGTAGCGTTTTGACATGCAGTGTTGAATTCAGTTGTACTCAAGTTTGTTCATGTTCACAAAGTGAATATAACAATATATTTATTGGGATGGTTGTTGTGCGATGTGGCGGTTTTTAAGAGATGTTTGGGCTGGAAAACCTCGACTCTACTGTATGTGGAAACACTGCGTACATGTAAATGTGATGCCAAGAAAGGGTTCCTCAACTCATAACACAAGAGTTCAACATGGGTTATTGTGATAAAAAAAAAACTGTTGGTTGGAAACTTGTATTTTGAGTGATTAAAGCGGAGAGCAGAGCTCCTAATTAGGAGGGAGTCTCCATAGCAACCAGTGACTCAGCATTTACCAGCTTTCTGGAGTTAAAAGCTACTTGGAAAAATAACCTTTTTTTTCTGAAACTGATCCATAACTCCAAATTCCTAATAGTGCTAACAGGATTAGGTTTTTAAATTTTCTTACCTATAACATTTCCCCATTTAAAAAAAAATAAATTATGATAAAATCCAAAAAATCCTAACCCTTTTTTTTTCTGTTTTTTTTTTTGTTTGTTTTTTTGTTTCTTTCCATTTTTTTGTTTGTTTTTTTTTGTTTCTTTCCATTTTTTTTGTTTTTTTGTTTCTTTCCATTTTTTTGTTTGTTTTTTTGTTTCTTTCCATTTTTTTGTTTTTTTTGTTTCTTTCCATTTTTTTGTTTGTTTTTTTGTTTCTTTCCATTTTTTTGTTTTTTTTTGTTTCTTTCCATTTTTTTGTTTGTTTTTTTTCTTTCCGTTTTTTTTTTCTTTCCGTTTTTTTGTTTGTTTTTTTTCTTTCTGTTTTTTTTCTCCTTCCTGTTTTTTTTTTGTTTTGTTTTTTTCCGTTCCGTTTTCTAAGCTAAGCTAAGACTCCTCTTATCGTCAGAATAGGCATCTGAGCAACATCTTATCTACAAACCCATCAACTGCAGCTTTTACAGGAAGCTGTAATGAACTCAGAATATTGGATCCAGAATTCAAGGAGAGTGAAGCAGTGGAACAGTTCGAAGCTTTTATTTAAAACAAACAGGAACGCGGGGCTGCTCGTCAGCTGCGGGGCGAATCTCTGCAGAGATAGGAAATACAGGTTAGTGACTCGATGTGGGGCTGATCACTACTAGAAGCAAAAGTCACTGACCTGATTCAAAGTCCAGTCTGATCCCAGAGTAAATATTCCAAATGGGAGGTTAATCCCTAGTTCCTAGAGATAGAGAGAGAGTTCCTAGAGACAGAGAGAGCAGAGCAGGCACCAGCCGATGCCGAGCAGCAACAGTGTCCCTAAGGGGAAATCCAAAGCCGGAGTCAGAAGACAAGTCCACGTTTAGAAGCCGGTAGAATCCAGGAATCAATCCTGAACAGATCAAACTAACAGAGCAGACAGGGGAAAAGCAAAAGTCGGGATCTACTGGGCAGAAACTGGTCACAATCAGGAAAAACTGAATTCAGATCACTAGAGTTAATCTCACCAAACTGTTCAAATAACCTGGCGCTGATGGAAGGCAAGCAAAGAACATAAATAGCGGAGGAACCAGGTAGAAATGATCAGAGTTAATCAGCTGCTGGACCAATTAGACAGGTGAGCAGGAGAAAATGAAAAAAACGAACCATCAGCACCAAGAACACAACAGAAGCAGTGCTTATGATTCAACGCCCATAACTTTCACTGTGTTTTATTGGCAAGTTTTAGCTTACTACTAAAATGTGTTGTTCACTTAGAACGGCTTTAAACTGTGATAAACACTTTAGCAAACCAAACTTCTATATATTTTTAATGAAATATTGAACTATTCTAACATCTGAGTTGATCTATGTGCTCCTCAGGCCAAGTAGGATGTATGTACCACACTAAAATGAGCAACGGATGAAGAAGGAGGCCAGAGGCTAATCTAATCCACAGATTTTCTCTCCTCAAAAGAAACAACAAACAGGAAATGAATCCTAATCTCAGTGCTCCAGTGACTACCTAAAATTGCTCATCTTTATTAATAAGATCAAAAGATGGGGGGAAAAAATTAGCTCTTGTTGAATCTAACATCTTGTTTTCATTAGTCAAGGTAGTACCTTTGACATTTTATATAGAATTAGCTAAACAGTAAAGATGTATGGAGTAAATTATGTTTAATTATTATCCAAAGCAAAAAAACATGATTTTTAAAATTGAAATCTGAAAAAACAAAGTTTTTATATCAAATGATTATTGTTCCGTTATTATTGCAAGCAAAGAAAATGTTTTTAAGTAGGAATTTGAAATAAAAAAATGCCTTATGGAGTGAATTTTGCTCCATTATTGTGGCAAGCAAGAACACATTTTCTAAATGATGATTAGAAATATTTTTAAAGAAGAGCCCTGTATAGAGTCAATTTTATGCCATTATTTTTTGCAAACAATGTACAACAATGCACGTTTTTTAAATGGGAGTTTGTAAAAAAAAAAAAAAAAAGTGCAATCCTATTCTAAGATTTATTTATTTATTTTTTTATTCTTTAAATTTTTCAACTTTTGTTTTATTCAAAATTCTCTATTTCAGATTGAGCTGTATAAATTGTACTATTTTCATAAAATGTTTTACAGATCAGTCTCATCACTTCAAGCCCAATACAAGTATCTTACATTGACAGATAAAATGTGGTTGCTAAAAGACTAAAAGAGAAATGCGTCTTTTCGTCTCACTCCAAAAGAAAGCCCACCCCCTGAAATAAAGAGAATGGGATTCATAAAATGCAATGTAAAAAGAATGCAACTCATATGACTCAATCTAAAAGAGAAATTTCAAAATGTAAAATCTCTAGAAAAAAAAGAAGAAAAGAAAAGACAACATAGAAAATATATAACATATTTCTTGCCATATAATGGAAAAAATAATGGAAAAATAATCTTAATACTGATTTGAGACCCTGCTAGGGTAAAGGTATTTTTGGTAATGGTATTCTGCACACAGTGTGCTTGTGTTCACCAAGTGCAAATTCTAATGCTCAAGCAAAATACCTACATGTACTGTATATGGGTACAAACTTTGTTGAAAAATGGTCTTAGTTATGGTTTAAATTATGATCCCACATGATGACCTAGAGTGGTTTAATTCAAACTACACAAATGGAACCCGTATAGATTCTGACTGCTCAATCTCAATTAAAAATGAGAAATACTAGTTTTATCTTTAGCCTTGGCTAACTGACCGTAAACTAAATCAATTTGGGTTCCACATTCACATTCATGCTATTATAGTTTAAACTGATAATACTGGACTAAAAGGAGAAACAATGCATCTAAACAGTGGTAAGCTATTATTATTATTAGTCTAGAATCTGTTAAATGCTGGTTTAATTGAATGCATGTGATTTTGAAATTGTTTAGTTTTACGTTTGAGTATATATTTTCAACCCTGGCATGTTACAATAAGGTTTTATTCTCATTCACATTCATGTAATTAAATTTAGCCTTTTAAAGATGACGAAAAATGAAGTGGAACTATACATTATTTAGATATCCTTAATTTTTTACATTTAATTTCAATATTTTAAGTGAAAGTTCAGAGGTTAAGATAGGAAAACATTAGGTATAATGACATTATTGTCTGCAAAGAGAATAACATTAAAATATGTCATTTCCTGCGATGTGCCTTCTGCTTACCTTGTTCACATGTCGATTGTCTCCCATCTTTTCTAATAAATCAGCCTCCTTCCTGTTTGCAGAATCTTAATGCTTGTTTTGGCGCCTTAACCCCCCACCCCCCACCCTACTGCCCTCCCAGATAATCCTTTCACACTCTTTAATGTCAACAGGATGCTCTGCTTTCCACCTCTTTACAATCCCAAAGCTACACAAATCTGTCTTTCTTCGTATCTTGGAACATGATTTAACTCCTTCATCCTTTGGCTGAGCCCCAGCGGGCCGATCCAAGAATTTAACAAATCTTAAAAACTGCTCACAGGAGCAGTTGGTCTACTTGGCACCAGACTCAGAGTAAGAGCTTGTAGTCAGTGTTTGGTGCAAAATGACTATCCCTGCAGTTGCCTTGGATACTCTCCTCCCGACCTCTGGAGCTGCTTTTATTAGTCTGTTGTGCTATTGAGGTTTTCCTTGCTGCGTCAATGTTCTTTTCTCAAAGAGGAAGGTTTCCAGTTTCCAAGAATGCAGAAACATTAAAACTCATTCATTGAGATTATTCAAATTCACAAAAGACTATGTTGCAGCCATTGCCCTTAATTTGTGTGTGAAAGAGCCTTAGAAACTAAATACTTTATTGTTTTATTATGCTATCTGTAGCTGTCTAAGGCATTGCTAAGCTTAATACTTAACTCTACAAAACAAGAGGAAAGCTTAATGTGGGGAAGACCAATGAAGACCACAGTATGATTTAAGGCTGATCAGATGGGATTTGGATGCCTGAGCTTCAGGTTGTGGGTAAATTAATTAGTCTCAGGGATTCTTCTGTGGATATCAAACTATTGTTTTATGACTCTAATGTTTATTTCCCCTCATCTCTCATGTTTATCACAGGTCTGAGCAGACGGTTCAGCTAAAACTTTTTCCTGGTTCGATAATCAGGGGAGATCACTTTCCAGCTCAGGTAAGTTATAT